GGGGGGGTGGGGAGGGGGGTGTAAAAAATAATTTACTACACTCCATGTTAAGTATAAAGATCAAATTGCCCCAATTAAATATCTTAAAAAAGACTAAAGTGCGGCAATTACGATGGAGGCTACAGCCTTTCCTCATAGGTTATGCAGACTGCCAAAATTGTCACGACAATAGCTCATAATTTGATGTTCCATGAGAGTCTCTGCATGTTTTCTCATTGAAGGAACACATTTCTCTAAACAGACCTTCCTATTCAATCTTATCTCAATCATAACAATTTTCAATCATAATATGGCCCATCCAGAAATGTTTTTGAAAGCAAACGATTGCAAGCAAAATAAAAAAGTGTACTTACCTCCTTTGCAACATTCATCATCGAAATAAAATTCTCCTCTTCAAACTCAATGTCGTTGGAAATTCGTAGTCTCGCCACCCCTTCTAGTATCTCTTCAGACTTCAGAAGACCGGCACCAACCGCAGCCAACCAACAGCATAAAAGAACATATAATGGATCCCCTGCCTACCCAAAACAGGGAATTTAATTTACAAGCTTGCAAAAAAAATTACTGTGAAATACCTTGTTTGATAAGAGATTTGAGTTAGTAGTTACACTTATGTTAAATAATTATTTCCTTTAAAATCTTAAACCTATTAATACACATCAAAATGTCTGGACAGTCACAGGGCATGGATATTAGTGAAAACTATAAATTAGAATTAACTAGTTAGGACAACAAATATGGAGGGTTAATTTTACTGATTATGACAAGGAGATGTTGCCAAAGTGTGCTCAAGTAAGAGGAAAGTGGTGAGCAATCAATTAATTGATAGGTCCCATGACTTGTGCTTTTGAGTAATTAGGAGCATGAGACTATGCTAGACTGTACTGCTGAGTGTGTTACGTATGCAAATGCAACACACACTTCTTTCTAGCAACTTCATGATTTTTTCCCCCTTCTGTCCGTTGGGAGTTGTTCAGCATTGGCAAATAATGTGAATGTAAGTAGACTACATTATTCTGCAGTCATGGAGGTTAGAAGAAAATCCATTACACAACATCCACACCAAAGAGTAGTCTCATAATTATATTCTGTTTGTACAAAGGCATAATAGAAAAACATTGTAAGAAATCATAACCTGGTTAAGATATTTTAAGTCTCTTTAGTTCAAAATTTCCCCCAGTGCTACATTGTTAATGCATGGCCACTCCAGTTTGTTGGCAAAAGTATTAAATGACATATGACTTCATGTGCTACTCGTGTTTTCTTTTGCTTTATTCATCATCACTTTTAACCAATCTTTAAATTAAGTCCTTTTATATCAGTCCCTTGCATCTTTAATATTTCGAAGTTAGTCCCTCAAGTAATTGAGGTTGACATTATGTTCCCTAATTCTTAAAAGTTGTTGCAAAATTAGTCTTCAGATTGTTGTAAATGCGATTAGATCCCCCAATTCTTATAAGTAGATATAACTTTATCCCTCCCGTCAAGAGTAGCATGAGCAAGATATAGGAATTTGGGGACCTAATAGCGACTTCAGTAGTCTGAGGTCCTTAATTTTAAATTGACAAAGATTTTATGGCCTAATGTCGGGGGAAAACCTTAATTTAAATTTTTTTTAAGTTCCCTTTCTGGGTACTAAAACTTGATCTACACACTCAATTTTCATCAAGGCCTTACACGTCGTAAATGATATAGATGACTAAATTCATAAAAGTGTAAACCATATGATTCAAACTCATATATTTATTTTGATGCTCTTTACTACCTTGAATCTACATCATGTTCATAGTCAAACAAAGTGGCAACAACAACAATGTTCTGTTCATAATTTAAGAAGATATTCATCATATGACTAAGCTATTACAACCTCATTCAAACAAATATTTATCCTCAAAAAGATAAATAACATAAATTCAAGGGGAAAAAGCAGGATTTTAAATGAAAATAGTACCCGACCCCGTCGATCTTGAAACTCGTAAAAAGCCCTAGAATCAGAGATCCCGCACTTCTTGCCGACCCTCCGCCGGAACTCGGCGAAGTCGATGACGTCACCGGCGACGCCGCCCTCGTCGCTGAGGATTCGGGCGAGGAGACCGACAACGGGTAGGGACCCGATAACCTTGCTGGCGATGCTCCCGATGGAGTTTGGGTTGCGTTCCATGTACGCCCGAATTCGAAGACAAGCACCGACCTTAACCCTAGGAGACGATCGAAGCTTGGGAAGGAGAAAGCGGTGGGGTTTGTTGGAGAGGAGAGAGGAGGCCAGGTTAGGGTTAGGGTTAGGGATTGGCGTTGCTGTTAACGTTGGAGTCCCCATTGTTGAGGGGATGAGAGCTCGAGTGATCACGCTATCCTCTTTTGTTTATGCAGTGTAATGAAAGCATGGATGACGAAAGATTGTCTAAGGGCTTGTTTGGCTCAAGGGGAATAAGGATGAAGCGAAATTAGGGGAACATTCACTTTGTTTGGTAACATTTAGGAAGTAAAGTTATTCATCCTAGTTCTTTTTGGTTCATCCCATAATAGTATAAAATTTGTTACCCCAAATTAGGGTGTATAGGTTGTCTAAAAATCATAATAGATAGTTGATCCCCATCAAAACACCGATGATGGAAGTTACAATCTGATGACTTCCAGAATGTTACAATTTGAAGACTTTCACATAGATTGATGAATGTTACAATCTGACGACCTTCACAACAACTGATGAAAGCTCTAATCAACAGCCTTCACAATCAACATCGGGAGTTACAATCTGATGACTCTCATATTCTCAAGGAGCCAAGACGAAGATTACAAGACAATGATCTTTGCAACGCTATGACAAAAGAGATTACTTGTTGATAATATCTTCGAAGCAAGACGCAGAACTCATCACCGCGCTCTAAGACCAAAACGCAGAGGTCATCCCTACGCATCAACACTAAAACGCGGAGGTCCTCCCCGTGTGTCAACATTAAAACGCTAGGGTCAGACCCGCGTTGTAATGTCAAAACGCCGGAGTCGAACCTGCGTTGCAACATCAAAACGCTTGGGTCAGACCCGCGTTTTTGTGTTTGACTGGTTCAAATAGAACCTGAACGGTTTCAAAACCGTAGCTCCACTTAATGGGGACGGTTACACCCCATTATGGAGAGATTTTAGGGGGAATGACACCCCTTAAATCCGTGAACAGTTCTAAAACTATTTCCCATGATTGGAGGGCGGTTACACCCCACTTAGGAGTGATTTAAGGGGGCAGTTACACCCCCTTAATCCTCTATAAATAACTGAAAATCAATTCAGTTCAGGGTTCGGTCTGTTGGAACTTCTCGGCTCGGATTGAACCTTCGGTTTGGCAGCAACAGGAGAGATCCTTGGGCGAGCTTTTGAGGAGATCGACATCATCCTCCAACGAAGATCATCTTCAACTTCGACAATGGAGCTTTCTTCCGGCCTTGGCTTATTAACCGATTTTCGGTTCAAATCAACTCTTTCACAGAGTTCTTCTAATCTCATTCAGAGTTTTAAAACTTGCTTTGCAAGTTCTCCACAGCGTCAAACCGTGAGGAGAAGACATCGTTCCAGTGAATCAAGACGTTCGGATCGTCAACGGAGAGCAAACTCGACGCGAGCATTCGAGTGAGGCACTCCATCGCCACCGTAAAGAACCCAGTTTTAAATAAAGGGGAGAATCCAGATTAATTCTCTTCTCTTTTGTAATCGGAATCCAATTATAATTGAGATTAAAGGAATACAAATCAATTTTCCTTTATTTTCTTTTTTACTATAAATTTTCCTCCAAACAAAAGATGGCGACTCTGCTGGGGATGAGCTTCTCTAATGAAGAAGTGGTGGTGCAATCCGATGTTCATCTTAGTAGAACGACCGTCGAAACTCTGATCATCGAGTTTGATCAAGCCAAGTTCGAGGAGGCCCTCTCCTCCGGATCCCTTAGCCCTAAGGCTATGCGTAAGATCCACAAAGTTTCTAAGGAGACTAAAGCTCCAGTTGTGGCCGACTCATCAAAGGGCTGTCTCCCCTGGGGGTTGTACTGTTCATACAGTCCCATCTCTAAAAGAGAAGACTTAGCTTCGGCACAACTCCAAGAAAGTCAATCCTCCAACCAACGCGAGCTTCGCGTTCGTGAGCCTAAACGCGACCCTGAGCTTCGTGTTTCTACTTTAGAACGCAAGCCTCGTGTTTATGAGCCCAAACATGAGCTTCGCGAGAACCAGGCTGAACGTGGCCCTCAATGGCGCGTTTTACAGCCAAAATGCGGACCTCAAGCCTTCGTTGAACGTGAACTTCAACTTCGCGTTTCCCAGTCGAAACACGACCCTCACGTCGACAATGAAGAACGCGACCCTCATGTTGCCAAACCAAAACGCGACCTTCGCGAGGCGGCTACAATCATCTCGGACCCGTCGGACGCTCGCAACTTGACTGTCTTCGCAAAGCAGTCAATACCAATATGGTAGGAAGACAACCAATCCATAACAAGGATGACATCGAACTCGGACATATGCAACACTATCAAATCCACTATAAACTCCGACTCGTCTAGACTCCACCAAGAGCTAGTCCTGTCCAATCATAGACTGGGGGTTCCAGTTCAAACCTCACGATCAGTGAGTAATTCTCCTCGAATCTTTACAACAGATTTGAGAGAGTTCATATCAAGAGAAAGACCGATGCAACAAATTATTCGTTCATTCCAATGTGAACGACTGATCCCTACGGTCCTCTCGGGATGCCAATGCTACTCATATGCGGCCAAACCATCGATATTCAACCGACCAACGAATGTTGTTTTACCTAACCAACGACAACGTTCGCACAGGAAGAAGTCTCCAGAGACCGAGTATCCTGGGGTCACTATCAATGTGATCGGCAGAGGGAAAGCCTCAGGTCCTAGTTCCGATGACTCTAAGACAAGTCGTTCACCGACCGTTAGAGAAATCACTAATGAGTTTGAAGGAGTCTACCGACACACTCGGACTTTAACGGGAGCTATTCCCCCTGTCAACTATCGGAGGTTAGCCAGAGGAACCAATTCCGATGATGAACACTCAGCCATTGCGGAGTCTCAATCGTCAAGTTCCTTTGTTTAACATGAGAGCTCCGCCTATATGACAGAAAATCATGAAGATCTCGCGAAGAGACTTGATGAACAGGAGGACATGCTCAAATATCAGCAGGAGGCCATCAATGAACTCTTGGCTCTGATGAATCAAATCGTCAAGGCCAAATCTCAGAAGACAGATTCGCCACTCAGGCAAGAATCTTCTCGAAGAGGAAGAACGTCTTCATCCCGACTTCACACAAGCAAAGGGAAGGAAAAAGCGGTTTATGACGCTACTTCTGACTAAGAAGCCCACAATCTGGAATCTTCCTCTGATGAAGGAAGAGAGACTGAGAACGAGCAAAATCTCCAGTCTGCCAAAATGGAAGAATTTGAAGCCCGTCTTAATGTCATTGCTAACAGAAGTGAGCTCCAAGATGAGGGAGTTACCAGGCCCTATCCTGTCGAATAGGATGCAGCCCATTATCCTCCAAAGTTAGAAGTCCCGACGCTACAAACTTTTGACGGCACGGGATCACCGAACCAACATATCTATCATTTCAAGTCAAAGACTGGGAATGTGATATCAAACGATGCCATATTGGCTTGATTGTTCATTGGCACCCTCAAGGGAGTTGCCTTTGAATGGTTCAGGAAATTGCCTACCGGATATTGGCACCCTCAAGGGAGTTGCCTTTGAATGGTTCAGGAAATTGCCTACCGGATGTATCCAAAAGTGGACAGATCTAGAGAGACTCTTCCTATCAAGATTCTTTGAAGATGATACAGAAGTCTCCATCTGTCACGCCCCGCTTCCCAAAATACATGGGAACCGGAACGTGAACAAGCCCGCGACGTATTAGATTAAGAAGAAATATACTCTACTTTTTTTTCTCTTTTCTTTTTTTCTCAATCCAATACGCTAAGCGTCTGGAAATAAGTACAATGCGAAGTCACAGGTCCCCGATCACACATAGCAAGAATATAAAGACAACCCAGAATAAAAATAGACATATCATCAATGGTAAATCATCCCAGACATAAAATATGGGTCAAACGTACCCTTATTACAACAACAGTTCAACTAGGAAATAAGAAATACATAGTCCATAAAGAAAATTGCGGTAAAAGAGTTTTAATATCCAACTACTACTACAGAAGAAAATCACTACGCTTCAGTTGGTTCTTCTACTCCTTCTGCAAGACACCCCTGCTAAGAATCTTCTGGCTCCTGTACTATCCCGAACTGAGGCTGCTCATCTCCTAAATCAGACGTACACCCAGAAAATAGGAGTACGTCAGGGTGTGGAACACACGGCAAGATCCCCCAAGGCAGGAACAAATACAATAACAGTAATGATAATATATGCGTGGTCAATGCTATAACAGAAATAGAAATAGAACATGTGATGATAGTAATAATGTTAGAGGCATGCAACTGGAATACTAATAATCAGAAGAATCCAAAAATCAACCAAGTAAGAAGATCATGCAGGTAGCAATCAAAAAAACATCCAAACAACAAGGACATACAATAGATGGAATTAATACTTAAAAATCTACAACTCGAGACGTAGTACGTCGAGCGAAATAATCCAAACAAGGAAACCCTCATGTATATAACATATGTCTCGAATTAAAAATAATTAAATATTAACCCCGAACTATGTATGGAAAGAAATACGACTGGCCTACGTCTCATAAGAATCATACTTAGCCAAGAATCTAAGTCATGTAACTAGTCATCCTACAACAGGTCACTGGCTCATATTATCGGATAACTGATAGATCGCAATCACAAATATCCCAACTCCTCTCACTTCTGCGTGCAATGATATCCCTGCTCCTCAGACCCACCCCAGAGTGAAACGATCCACTGGTGCGAGCCTGGAAAATACCAACAACCACGATATCAATGTTCCTCAGACCCACGCCAGAGTGAAACGATCCACTGGTGCGAGCCTGGAAAATAACCATCCACATCCGATCGCATGAACCAAGAATTCCTCATCCCAACTCTTCTCGCTTTCCTAAGTCAACAATCATAATCCACACTATAACTCGGGTTCACCACCTAAACTCAGTCAACAACCCACACATGTCACTAGGTTTGTTCATGACGCACAATGCCACTAAGTCATGAACTACTAATGTTCTCAAACACAACAAGGCAGTATTAATAACATTAATTTCACGCAACCACATCATGACATGTCGAATACAGTAAAATATTCACAAAATATAAAATATAATCATATACAGCAACTACGTAATTCAGAAATTAATTCCTTTCACAAATAATTTCTTTTAAAAATTAATTCTTATTATAATAATCCAAAATATTCTCTTCCCTAGAATAAATTCTTTTAAAATTATTTCTCA